TTGGTATTTTGATATGTTGGGGGTACTTTGGTAATTTTGGGAAAAACCCTAGTTGTATTAATAAATTAATTTGTATAATTAATTTAAGGGAATTGGGAAAATTTGGTTAAATTCATGGAATTGAGGAATTCATTGACTAAATGGTGTAGTTGGATAATTTAAATCACTCGCCTATTGAATTGTTGATATATTTATTTTCAGTTTAGAAATAACTGTTTTGGGCTATCGTTTAGAAATAACTGTTTTGGGCTATCGGTTGAGGATAGCCGTGATTGTTGTAGACACTGCATGTGGATTTGGGATAACTGAAACTAATCGTTGATTAAGTCATCAATTTTGACTGCTGAATTAATACAGACATTATGTGTATTGATTGTGTGTTGTGTATGCTATGTGTTTACATACATTGTTTTGTGTGGGAGGACATAGGGGATGTACTCCCCGGATTAGGGGAAGATAGGGGATGGACCTCTAAACCGGATTTTGTTTGGGAGGAGATAGGGGATGGACTCCATTAGCATCACTTTTATGTGTGCTTATCTATATTGAAGTGATTTATTGATACAACACTAAAATGTGTATCAAACTGGAAGTATGAAGTGTTTTGATTTGAGCCTGAGTCTCATTTGTTTGTTGACATTGGAAGAATGTGAATTTGATATGTATAGTTCACTGTTGTAAGTCTGGCCAGGTTCTGAACCATATTGATAATGTTGGAAAGTAATACGTATCTTAGACATTAATATCATGAAACGGAATAATGATGTAATTGATTATCTTGGTTAACCATCTATTGAATGCCATTGCTTTATTCAATGCTTATATTTGGTTTAGTATACTTCTACTAGGCTGTGGCTCACCATTTATGGGAACATCATTTTCAGGTTCAGGTGAAAACCTACCTCCAAGGACTTAGCTTGGGAGGGCTTGGCTTCTGGATTTTGAAGAAGACTATCTTCGTTAATTGTCTTTATTTATTAGTACATGTAAACATTCAAGCCTAGGGCTTTCCTTGTATTGAGTTAGAACTCATATTTTTGTATCCAAGTGTTGGCTTGGAAAGATGTAAGCCTGTAGGGCATTTAATTTGATGTTATATGTTATGTTTTCGTTTAGTAATACTCTGATGAATGAATTAATAAATTGTTTTCTTTGAATAATGCATGTCAATGAAATGTATATAATGGGTTTATTTTGAGGACGTTACAACAGGGGCTGATTCAACAACTACAAGGCTTTTTTTTTCTTATTGTTGTTGTTTTTAATTTTGCTTATTTTTATTTTGAGTTTAGTATTGTAATATTCACATTTGAATTTTCATAGTAACACATTTTGTTTTTAATATGGCTATTAAAAACACAATGGATTCTTCGAGAATCGACATGCTTAATGGAAATAATTTCCGAGCATGGAAACGCCACATGGCTTATCTTCTTACACATGAGAAAACATTGCATACTTTATCCACTTCTAAACATGAAACTGCCAGACAACTAATGGAAGCACTAGAAAGTAAGTATGGAGTTCGATCGGATACTCAAATTCAATTGCTCTTGGACAAATATAATAACACTCGTATGAGTGATAATGATAGTGTTGGTGATCATGTTAATCAAATGGAATTAATTGCTAAAGAATTATCCAACGCTGATCACTCTTTGTCGGATAAGATGAAAGTAACAACCATACGTAATTGTCTTCCATTGTCTTGGGATCATGTCATCACATCTTTAACTCATAGCGGACGAGAAATTTCAATGGTAACATTGCCTGTACTCTTAGTTTTGGAAGAAGAAAGAATGAAGCGTAGGTGTAAAGAAGGATTGTCTTCTAATTTGTTGATGGCACAATCTTCACCACAACCACAGAATAATACCCACACTCCATTCAACAAGAAAAAGACGACTTTTTTCAAGAAAAAATGAAAGAAGGGATTTCAGAAAGGATGGAAGAAACCACAAGAATGGCAAAAACAACATCACAAGCAACAAATTGGTTCCACATCTATGCTGTTTTTCAATAGATGAGTTCTGATTTCGAAGCTTCAGTTGCCCAACTTGCTTTCTATTTTGTGTACTGCAATTGCTTTGATTGACTAAAATTAGAATTGTTTGTATTTTAGAATGTGTGAATCACCATATTTGAGGCAGAAAATTTGCAGAAAAAAATACCAGGTAAAGTAGCAAGATTATAAAAGGCAATTAATAAATATAAAATATACATCATCGTCATGGAACGACTAGATAACAGACAACGTTGTTTGAAACGACCCATGTTTGGTACAATGCAACGAGGGAGTGCATTGAAACACGGACCCATGTTTGGTACTTTAAGACACAGACCTATGTTTAGTACAATACAACCCATGTTGGTACAACACGATGACGGGGAGCATTGAGGTGAGTTCAGATCCTTTCCTTAACTCTCCTCCTTCATTTCCTTCATGCAAGGCTGAGATTCAACCCAGCAGATCCAATGGCTAAAACAAAAACAAAAACAAAAAAAAAAAAAGAAATTCAAAATTGGAATTGAAACTTTCCCGCCCAAAGCATTACACAGCTTGTACAGAGTATACACTCATTCTCACTCAGCATGCTTCTACTCCACCGAACCCACCCGCATCGGCAACCCACCTTTCCCGGCGACCCACTCCCGACAATGGCCAAAAGCTCTGATTCAAGCAAGCTTATTAGAGTAGATACACCTTCACCGGCGACCAGGTTGAGAGAGACTAGGTTGTGCCAAATGATATCTCATTTGTTGGGATTTTGTCTGCCCATTGCCATGCCAGCGTGATTGATCTTGGTCGTGAAATTTTTTATTCCATGAACAATTATCACATAAGACCCATTTGAACAATTAACAGTCCTAACGAAAGAATAGTTGAAATACAACTGATGATGAAGAGGTGGTCTGGACTCTAATTTACTAAAAGTGGAAACATGATTTGTTATTCCATTCTAATTTTGGCTCCATCATAGAAGTCAAATTTTTTGTTGAAAGTCTGAATTTGCAAGTTTGCATGAGCTATTTGTTGGAATCACCAGTAATGTCAAAGTTCCTGGATTCTGTAATTCGTTTACCTAATTTTTTGTGATGGTTGTAGATGAAAGGTACCATTGGTAAATTACCTTGGCGCCCATTGTTCAATGTTTGGTCTCTTGTATTAAATATTTGCCCGAGATGGAAACTTGGAAAAGCTAGGAACTGTTGAAATGGATCAATATTTGTTTGTGAACACTGAATTATCCTCAAGAAATGCTTCTTTGATTCATAACAGGGAAAGTGTGGTCTAAATCTTGTCTTAACCGCTGTAATGAACTTAAAAAATAAACGAGTAGTTATCTGATCAATTGTGAGAGTTGAAGTGGTTGAATATTGCGGCTCGATGGTTTCTCCATGCTTGGCATGGAATTGGTGTTGAAAAGTGTCTTGTATCAGCATTTGGTAAGTGTTGTTTTCAGTGGCTTGTGCTTGCATGGGGTTGGTGCTGAAAATGTGCTATCTAATTGTCTTCTTTTCTCTCTTTTCTTTGCTTATGTTTTCCATTTTTATCATGGAAAAGCTTGAGCAGGTCATGCTACTATATTAGCATAACAGATTACCACTGATGAAATTTCTTATGTTTTCATCCCAGTGTTTCTAAAACACGTCTTGCTTCTAACATCCAAATAAATAAATAATTTTCCTTCTCACTATTTTTCCTTTGCACATCAATATTGCACATCAAATATTGGATGACTTGATTTGTCGCTTCTCTAAGATCTCTTCTTTGATAACTTTACCTTTTTCATACATACTTTTTGATGAATATCTGACCAAAGTGAATCCCAATTGTCAAGAGGTTTTAGCCTTGGCTGTACCAAGATTCAATTCAACTCCTGAATTCTAAATGTAATTTTTTTATTCTTGGTTTTGAATAAGTGATTCAAGCTTGTAGAAGATGTTTGAAAAACAACTTCAATTATGCTGCAACCTGCAAGAAATTCATTCTGGGTTTCATGTAGGTTGGATGTTGGACCAACCTGCTTTTAACTTACCCAACTTTTTTTTAGATAGGATAACAAGCAACAAAGCAAAACAAACATCAACCAGATCTAACATCACGAAGGACAAACGACAACACCAAAGACCAAACCCAGCCAACTCAGTCAGAACCCTAAAAAACATCGATCACTGTCAGGAGCCTCTTTTTATTTTTTCTTTACTGGCATAAATTAGATCAATCATTAATAGATGAACAAGAAATTCAGTTACATATATGAAGATCATACAGATCAGACCAGTGCCAAACACATATATAGAGTAGATACACCTTGCTTGAATCAGAGCTTCTCGCCGTCGTCAGGAGTGGGTCGCCAGTGAGGATGGGTCGCCGGTGCGGGTGAGTTCAGTGGAGGAGAAGCGGGCTAAGTGAGAGTGAGTATACTTTGTATAAACTGTGTAATGTTTTGTGCCGGAAAATTTCAGTTTCAATTTTGAATTTTTTTTTTTTTTTTTTTTTTATAGCCGTTGGATCTGCTGAGCTGAATCTCAACTGTTGCACGGAAGAAATGGAGGAGAGTTAAGAAGAGGATCTGAACTCCATTGAGACACAGACCCATGTTGGGTACAATGCAACAAGGGGGTGCATTGAGGCACGGAAAAATGTTATAATCTTGTACCAATTAACAAAGAACTGAACCATGTAAATATAAATTTCTTGAGCACTCTTTTCTTACAAGCCAATTTCAAGAGTGAATTCTATATAAGAAAGAATTTCATATCATATTTCCCATCACGAACACTAGTCCAAATTTTTACCTACACTACATGAACACGCTCTTTCGTGACTAACTCCATTTTAAAGATTTCATAATGTGCCAAAAAATAGTATGATTTTCTAGAGCTGAGACAATTGCTGCCACTAGTGCACAGCTACATTGTTATCTCATTTTCTCCTCTGTAGTGTCCATCTTAAATCTCTATTTTTTTTAGCATTTTCATTCTTTCTCAAATGCTTATTAGCAAGGAGCATATTGGCATCTAAACTGCCATGAACTTGTAAATAAATTAACAATCCCAGACAAGCATTCGTGTCAGCTAAAATGCTTTTGTCATGCAAAGATGATGTACAGATATCAGCAATTTCAGGTCACGGAAAGATAGTAGACTCCTAAAACAAACTCACATGTTACACACAAGTTCCCAGATAGATAGAAATCATACTTGAAAGCATTTTTTTTTACCCCCTTCAAACCAGGGTGTGAAATCCATTATATCTTGCATGAAATTGGACATTGGTTATGCTGCAGTAGTTGCATCAGTGGCCAGAATATATCCAATCTGTGGAAGCCCCTCGAAGCCTGTACTCAGCAGAATAATATGCTTCAGATTACAAAAATAAACAAAGAAGGGTACCCAAATTTGGTCAAAATAAGGTATGTTTTGTAGTGCAAGCTTTGTAATTATCAAGTACCTCAACAATGAAGTGAGCCCACGTATTGTTTGAACGACTCTCCATCATACCCTTCAAGATCGTCAACTCCAAACGACAGATAACCTCAGCAATCTCCATGAAGAGCCCATGATCATTGCAAAGCATCTGTTATAATCATCAGAGTTAGAACATCCACGTGAGAGCACAAATCTAAGCAAATACAACATAACAATATCAAGCAATGGAACAGACCTCTATTAGCATGTGTCCTGGGTATTCAAGATCTTCCACAACTATGGGGCATACTTGGAGATCACTTCCCAGTTCAAAAGCCCAGCTTTTCCCATTCTTACTATCACCCTTGGTGCCAGATGTTTTCATATTCTTCCGACCAGTTACCTGTTGAGCAATTTAATTTGCACATATCTCAAAAACCTCAAAATATTGCAATTCATACGTATACACCTGAATCTACTCAACTCTAATAAACTAAAAATGATATTGTTCAGACTATGATCATATGATTTCCTTTTTTGAATAGTTAGTGTCACAAACTATTTGGTTGTTAATCATTGAAGTCATGAACCATCCATTATCACGAGTTAAGAAATGATCTTGGTATATAAGTAAATGAAGAAAACAAACACACCCAAAAACACGCGTGCACACCAAATCTCAAAACTAAAAGGAGGTGCCAATATTATGGTGTAGTGCAAGTAAACATTGAATTTCAAACATAGACCCAGTTGAGAAATTTATGATTCATTGAATCATCAGAATCAGTGTTCTAGGATCCAATGAATATATTCCGTCAATACAGGTTGTTACTTAAGCCAGCTTCAGTAACCGACATGGTTGTTTGGCTCATCAATTGCTGGTAGATAGCATATAAAACGATTCAGTCCAACACGTTCAGGGGCGTCAAACACAATCTTTTTTGTTCACCAGCGAAATTCGTTTCTATCCTTCTCCCATTGCTCTCATACCAATAATTTTCTGTGCGCAAAAACTTAAAATAGCCTGCCTGATTACCCAGTGGATCCTAGTCTTCTAGTATATCCTTGGATAATTGTGCTACAAAATAAAGATGAATACCCCATAAAGGTGATGTGACCAAAAAATAAATAAATCATAATTGGTAAATTAACCAAGAACAACAAAGTAGTCCTCCATGAAAGACTTCCATAATTTATTTACGAGACCACCATCAAGTCAAGGAAATCCAGCAATCTTACGAAAATAATAATCTAGCCTATCTATGTATCAAAAGTTATGCAAGAAGTTAAAATACCTAAGCAACCTAAATAAACAAAGCCTCACCCACTTGGGATTGACTGAATTCTTCTAACCATCCAGCTTTGTCCTAGTAACATCCCCCATAATTCGGCATGCCATCATATCAATTTTTTTCCCCTTGACCCATGTTCTCGTGAGCCTTCCAACAACCTCAATTTTAATCAGATCAGCTTATATTCAAATAACATTCCATCATTTTAACCGACATTGCTGCTACCTCTTGCAGCTGAAGGTAAATTCAGTTCTTATTTTATCCCTTCCTAAATGGGGGTTGAAAACCAAGTGTATTTTTCTCTTTAAGTTGAAACTGTTGAGCACATGTTTACAAAGTGAGTGTAGCCAAATGAGAACACACCCATTTGGAAAAACTTATATATTAGAAAAAGCATCTTTAAACCTATCTTTAAAAGAGTAACTTTTTGAGCCTTTTTTGGGCTGAAAAATGAAATAAGCTGAAAACATTAAAAGTTTTATCGAACACTAAATTTTCAAGGTACAACTGCTTAAGCATAGAATTTTAAATTTTAAGCTAACTAAGATGCAAATAAGTTTTGCCAATGTTGAAGGAGTTTGCTTAAATATGTCCTCAAGTAAATTTATAATCTTAGACCCATCAGTGATTTCATATATAATCAATCTGAAACAATACTAAATCCCAACTGATGGGATCAGTAATATGATTCCCTTCTCAAATGCTTTTTATTTTATTTTTTATAACCATGATTCCTTTTTCAAATGCGCACCAATACTTTTTGATTGAAGCTCTCCCTGTTATTTGAGGAGGCGTTCCTTTCAAGTTCTGGGAAATTTTATTCTTTTAGAATTCTGAGATTGATTACCCAGAGCTCACTTTTAAGATGTCCTAAAAATATACAATGAAATATGTCGTATTCAACCAATTTTTGGGTAATCAGCAGTTCAAAGGCCGGGCCAACCAGCAATATGGGTATTGAGGGAGGCAAGACGTGAACCCTTGACCTCCTAGTGTGCTATCCTTTATTTCCAACTAATATCTGTGTCAGAAAATCAAAATGATTTTATTCTACCTGACAAAAAGCTGACTTGTTAAAGAGATGGTTCACACATAAAGCTGAACAATTGACATGACCAGGAAAGAAAAAAAATCCAAATAATACAGACAACCACTTACCTCTTGATGAACACACTGCCTTAATTTATCAGCCTGATCAGTAACACTTCTTAAGAACAGCATGTGCTTTATAGTTCTATCCAAGAGGCCATCAATGCTACACTGTATTTTTCAAGGAAAAGAAAGCACTCTATTATTTCAATGAGAGAGAGTGATAGAGATCAAAAAGAGACAACCTATCTGAACTGCAACAGATGCAGACCCTGAAAAGCAATCACCTTTGAACTGTATGGGACAAGTTGCCGTAGTTCTTTGACCCTATCCAGGATCAATTGCCTATCCCTTGGTCTTGACCTCTGTTTTTCACCTGGTCTAGCCCTTCTTTTGTGGTCATTAGAGAGCTTTGACCCTTTTCTGGTCTGCAGATAACCATTGGCTTTCTTCTTCTGCTTCTGTTCAGTCAATGCACTGATCATATTGTCAAACGAAGAAGATGGAGGAGATTCAGTAATAGCATTTTGGCAACCAGCACCGGATGCACTTGTCACAGAACCCCATGGAACTCTTTTCCCCTCCACAAATGCGGTTTCTTCAGGTTGACTTTGTGATTTGTTGGAAGCAGCAAATTGCCCCATTGATGTAATAGATAACTTGACATCATTGGGTTTTGTAGACAAATTATCATTCAAACCACCATGCATACTGGCAACTACAGCATTCAACTGATGTGCTTCATCTCTGTTGGCAAACAATCCACTGGATTCCCAGGTTGATGGCTCAATACCATGGTTAAGATCTTTTTTGAAGGTCTTGTTTAAGCTACTACATGCATCCTCACCTGAGAGAGATGAGTCCCACAGATATTCTTTGGCCTGTCCTAGGAAAGCAGGTCCAAGTGCATCGTGCAGCTCATTGTCCATGGGAAAGTTAAAGAAACTATTTACATTTTCATGACCTCCATTATCAGGATCCTTGTCTACAAACGGCTGTTCCATCATATGTTCATTAGAATAAGAGTTGATAACTACATTGGAGTTCTGTCCAAATAAACCCACATTGTAGTTATCAGAATAAGAGAACTGTAATTCTTCGTCCAAACTAGAAACTTCGACCACACTACCCTCAATCATCTCTGACTCTGTATCATTTAGTGATTGATTGAGTGGTTGTGATACTTCGATTAAACCCATAGATTGGACACTGATTTTGTTTTCCCTTGTGCTATTAAGATTATCTACCACCTCTTTTCTAGATATGTGACGTGCATCTTGAACCAGACACACACGTGTCATTTGATTAGTAGTTGACAATATATTGTTTGTTGGTTTGACATTGTAAACAGCCTTCGAATTTTCAGATTTTATTTTCTTCAAAGCAGTGGCTGACGACTCATCCAAGTTATTCATGTCAACAGGCACAAGTGACAATGATGTCTGAGCTACAAATTCCCTGCTAATAAAAGGTAATATATCCATTGCATTCTGATAGGCATTGAACTTCTCTCTGACATAAGCAACCAAAGCCGGATATTCAGCAACCTGAAGTTTTGACAAGAGCCATACATGAGATGAAATTGAAAACCCAAACAGCAAGCACACACATAATCACAAAAACACATGTACGCATTTGTGTGTGTGTGTGTGTGTGTGTGAGAGAGAGAGAGAGAGAGAGAAAAAGATGAAAAAGTTGTCCTTCACAGGGAAAGGAAGCAAGCATCACATTCATGGAACATGAATAAACCATGCAATGCTTTCAAAATCATGATGATCTATGGCTTTGGCATCCTTGACATGATTGCATGTTGCACACGTTTCCATTATATAATGGGATACAAAAAGAACTGCTAACATCACTAAAAGAAGATTCAAGAAGGCATCTGACCACGATACCAAAAAATGCCCTTCTATCGATGAAAACACACCTTTTCCAATGAGCCAAGTTGCAAAACTCCACATGGAACAACAGGCACTAGCAAAATCGTCTGCATGGGAACCACATGAAAAATCAACAAATTATTTATTCAGAGAAGCCAATTTGTGGTTCAACTGGCCAGAGGATACACCCTCCACTCACAATATATGAAGTTCAACCCACTGTTATAATGTAACTGAATAGTAAAGGGTTGTTTAGGATGATCTAAATAAGTGCACTTTTTGTCTTTTTATGAAAAAATGTA